AGCTGGGTTCTGGTTAAGGAAGATTACTGACCGTAACGAAGGTATACGGTGTATAGTGACTAATTACTTGTAATCTGCTTGCCTCGTGGCGACAAAAACTGATTGTTATTGTATGTATGTATGTATGTATGTATGTATGTATGTATGTATGAATGTATGAATGTATGAATGTATGAATGTATGCATTTATGCATGCATGTATGTACGTACGTACGTACGTACGTCTGTATGTATGTATGTATGTATGTATGTATGTATGTAGGTATGTAAGTATACATATATATATATGTATATACATATATTATAATATATATACATAACATACATACGTACATACATACATACATACATACATACATACATACATACATACATACATGTATACACATCCATCCATCCATCCATCCATACATGCATCCATCCATACATGCATACATACATACATACATACACATCCATCCATCCATCCATCCATCCATCCATCCATCCATCCATACATACATACATACATACATACATATAGCCCAGGAAGAAGGCCGAGGAGAAGGGCGTGGAGCTCATTTTGCCGGTGGACTTCGTGTGCTCCTCCAAGTTCGGGGATGATGGCGAGATCCAGGACTCTCAAAAGATCCCTTAAAGGAACCCTTAAAGGAACCCCTTAAAGGAACCCCTTAAAGGAACCCCTTAAAGGAACCCCTTGAAGGAACCCCTTAAAGGAAGCCCTTAAAGGAACCCTTAAAGGAACCCTTTCCCAGATCCCTTGAGGAAGGTGACATGAGCACCGGGGTTCCCGAGGGCTTCCTGGGCCTCGACATTGGCCCCAAGTCCATCGAAATGAACGACGAGGCGAGGGGGCCAGTGCCTCTTCATGCTACGGTTGATGGTAAGAATCCTGCGTTACCCCCAATTGGGAAGAAACCATACAGTAATTTCCACAGTTTAGGGTCCGTAAGGTAATGCAGGATTTATATCATCAACCGTAGGGTGACCCGAGCTGCCCTCGCCTCCCTTCTACCGGGTCCTGAGTTCAGAGAGAGCCCCCCGCATCTTCAGGCGATCAAGAAGTCCAAGACGATCGTGTGGAACGGTCCCATGGGTGTCTTCGAGATGGAGGCCGCTATGGGGCGGTCTCGAATTCCGAATTCGTAGTTACTGGGTTCAGGGGTTTAGGGTTTAGGGTTGAGGGGTCGCAGTTTAGGTCTGGGGGATACCTTCCCCTCTCTCTTTGCGTCTCCGACTCTACCCACTGAGAAAAATTCGCCAGGCTTTCGAAAAGGGGACGAAGCAGATGATGGAGACCATCGTGTCGGTCACGAAGGACGGCGCCGTCTCCGTGATCGGCGGTGGCGACACCGCCACCGCCTGCAAGAAGTATGACACTGTTGACAAGGTCTCTCACTGCAGCACTGGTGGTGGGGCATCCCTGGAGCTCTTGGAGGGCAAGCTCCTCCCCGGCGTGGCGGCGCTGGATGATGCCTAGGCGACATGGCTCATGCACGGACTCTTTTTGTTGAAGTGTGGGTCCTGGGCTCTCGTGACGATTTTTCCTGTTTTGTTGTTGATGCCTTGAGAAAAGAGCTGCTTCGACTCGGGAAGGACCTGCATGCAATTTTCACCCAGTAGTTCTTCAAAGAAAGCCCCACTCCTGAGTGGCTTGGCTGTACCCCACATAATTTTTATGCCGCTGAGGGTGATGCAGAGGGGGTTGCCTGCGCGTGATATTTTTTGCCATGTCGGTTTCTTACGCCCTGAACGTCTTACCTTCTAAACGCTGAAGCGGCGGATGCAACAGAAACTGAAAGGTCCATCTCCTCAACCCTAAACCCTAAACCCTCAACCCTCAACCCTAAACCCTAAACCCCTGAACCCCTAAACCCTAAACCCCTAAACCCTGCACCCAAAGCCTCGCATCTCTTCAGACCAGCCTGGCATCTCAGCTGCCTGGCCTGCCGTGGATCGGAAAGCGAAAAGGGCCCAGAGTTTCCGGAAGCCCCTTCAGCTTAGGGTTTAGGGCTTAGGGTTTCGGGTTTAGGGTTTAGGGTTTAGCGTTTCCGGAACACAACCCCACGGTGTGGACCAGGGTAACCAGCGTGACCTGCGTTTAGGGTTTAGGGTTTAAGGCTTAGGGCTTAGGGCTTAGGGCTTAGGCCTTCGGGTTTCGGGTTTAGGTTTTAGGGTTTAGGGCTTAGGGTTTAGGGTTTAGGATTTAGGGGTGCTTCTAGGACCTGCATAGTTCGAATCCTGCTACTCCACCTTGCACCTGTGACCCCAAACTCCCCCAAAGCCCTAAGCCCCAAAAGCGTCGGCCCTGGCACATTCTGCCTGGCTTCAGGCCGCCCCCATTGCGACCTACCAGCCGGCAGATGCGACTAGCCAGCCTATCGCCACGTTCCTCGGTGAACGGAGTCTCCGAAGCCTGTTTGGTTTAGGGTTTGGGTCTAGGTGTTTAGGGTACAAGTTTGCTTCAAGCACGGTCGAAGCCGGGACTTTGCAGTGACAGGGTTGAGGTGTGAGCTGAGTATAGGCTTCCGAAGTAAAGAAACCCTAAAATCAAGACACGACTGACTTCGTGCAGTCTAAGAAGAGCCTTTAGCACGCTTTCCCGTCAGCTATGGAAACAGCGCATGCATCTCAAGCAACACCAGCAATGTCTTTATTGCACCTGATCTTTTAGGCGTGTTGTGTGCAACCTTTACGATCTTCAAAATGCCAGCAAGAATGTAGACATGATGGAGATCGGTTAAGTATCCTGCAGTGATGCACCTAGCCTGTCAAAAATCGAGTCTCACTCCATAAGTCAATTATGCACAACCAGGCAGCAAGTGCTGTTGCTGTGCAGAGCCCTAAACCCTAAACCCTAAACTCTAAACCCTAAACCCTAAAGCCTGGTACGAGCCAGGTATCCCCCCCAGACGACGGAGGGATTGCCTGCTGCCACCTCAATGGTCGTCAGCTACGGCCTCTTGGCCACAAACCCTTCACCCCTAAAGGACCCCTGAAAGGGATAGCTAAAGGGAATCCCTACAGAAGCCCTCAAAGGAGCCGTGTAAAGGCCCCAAAGCCGAACAAACCTTAACAATCCATCCGGCTAGGTTTCTGTCGGAGTCTCTGCAGGGCATTCTTGGCCGAAGACTTGGAACCCTAAAACCCTCAAAGCGCACCACAAATCCCAAACCCCAACCCCTAAGCCCTACATCCCTCCACAAACTCGCCCTTAGAGTATCTTGTATAGCAGCTTTCATACTTCGAGGTTCATGGGCAGTTATAAGTGGCGTTCTAAGTCCCCTAAGATGGGTTATCAGTATAGTTTCCCTACTTATTACCCCATTTATAGCTACCCATGAACTCCAAGTAACCTCTGTAGTTCAATCTGGTGACCCTCCAAGGTCCCTTGAGGGTTTAGGGTTTAGGGTTTAGGGTTAAGGGTTTAGGGTTTAGGGTTTAGGGTTTCTTAATATGGGCTATAAGTATAGTTACCCTGGTTATTACCCCATTCGAGGTCCCGTCACGTACGCCCCGCAGACCTTGGACCACAGTCAGGGAAGATGGCGCTGCTCTGAGACCTCCAGACGGGGCTGTGAGCTTTTGCTTAGATAGCCAATGGGAGAACTTTAAACTTTTTGGCCTTATGTATTAGGTCTATTCTGAAAAGTTGAACTTTTTTGGGCCTGGTTGTTGAAGTAGAGAGTTTGTGTTTCTGGAGTACCCAGAGAACCCAATACCCCCTTAAGTAAGGAATACGCCGTAAATCATACATATTAAAGGCCTCTATAACTTAAGGGTATATTCCTTAAGTAAGGGGTATTGGGTTCTCTGGGTGAGCTTTTGCTTTTCTGGTGTAGTCCTAGTTTGGGGCTAGAGTTTCTGTCGGCTCTGTAAGGGCTTGTTTTAGAGTGTGTATTGGGGCTAGAAGCGAAAGCCTTTTTTGTTTATATGACAAAAGTGTCAGGGTTTGGGGTTTAGGGATTTGGAATCAGGATTTGGGATTCCGGGTTTGGGAACAAAGCTCTCCAGGAACAGGGCATCTCAGAATACAGCTATTGAAGCAAAAAATCCGGATCCTGCAAAAAACAAGCTTGTAATAGCTGAAACGCTTAGGGCCTCGTTAAATCCTCAACCCTCAACCCTAAAC